TCCCCAGGCCCCCTATACGTGTGTTATATCGCGTATGTACAGGTAAAAATCGTGCCCGACGGCGATTCTTTCGGATTCTCTATAAAATAAAGAAACACCTCGGTTACGCCTAATGCCACACACCGACTATGTACAGAAATTAGAACGCGAGAGCGTGTATATATATGTATGTATATATATATATAATATAGATTCTTTTATGCGCGTTCCACCGACAGGGCGAGTTATCGGTGACCAGGGGGGCGAGAACAGAATCGCGGTGGTTCGCGAGGATCGTTCTCGAATGTTGCGGGATTACGGTGTTGGGATTACGTTTCCTGTCACCGGTGACTCGCCGTGCGGCCGTACGATCTATAATACCCTCGAGAAACGTTACTCGCTATTCGTAATCGTGTATATCGTTAGTAAATTCTTAGATATGGTTGTTCCGCGGCCCGGCACCCGGCACACGGGGCTCCGATCTCGACCAATTCCATTCTTCCTTAAACCAGTGGAGGGATTACGACTGCGAACGGCGTGTGGATGAGATCTACGCGCGCTGCCGGTCGAAGGTTCTTTCGTCCGATCCGTCGATCATCGATCGGACTCCCATCGGTAATCGGATCCCAGCCGATCGAACGAACGAACGGCCGTACAACTTCCGGCCGGCAGCGGATAACCGAGTTGTAACGCGTGAAGTGCATCTGCGTCTGAACCGCGAGTCTTGCTTTCGTGGATCGCGGTGTTTCGTCCGCGCTTTCCGCATCGAAACAACGTAATCGGGGTCGTCGGAATCGGTTATCGACGTTTTCACGAAATAAAAGCAGCGACAGCCGCAAAGCGGATTTGCGATACTCCGCGGCAAACAATTGAGAACGAGATCGTCGTACTTCATTGTACGCTCGCGACGCTAATGGGACAACCCTCGTCCGTCCCTTGTCCCCCGTTTGAACGATCCGGGATCGCCTTCGTTGCATCGCTCGTTTGCAGAGTTATGCTAATTGTTCGCCAGCGGTGAAAAGCGAGCGAAATTGGCACGAGGAACGGACAAGAGAGTCGGTTGGTCGATCAAAGAGCCCGGCTCTCGATCGAGACGAAAGTCGTGTCGGCGAATGCGCGAAGACCCGCGGTTCGCCCTGATCAATTCCGGACGCGTTCCTCCCGATCGGTCGAACTAAGAATAATCGCGAAAGCCAGAGCAATTCACACGTTACACGGCCAAGCTTCGTCCGAGCGTCGGGGGGCTCGTCGAAGTTAACAATTCTATGTGCACTGTTCTTTCAACAACGATCGGAGCGGCGTGCGCGCGGCTGCCGGCCAGTGCGCAGCAAGTACCCTTTACAGTAANTCCCCAGGCCCCCTATACGTGTGTTATATCGCGTATGTACAGGTAAAAATCGTGCCCGACGGCGATTCTTTCGGATTCTCTATAAAATAAAGAAACACCTCGGTTACGCCTAATGCCACACACCGACTATGTACAGAAATTAGAACGCGAGAGCGTGTATATATATGTATGTATATATATATATAATATAGATTCTTTTATGCGCGTTCCACCGACAGGGCGAGTTATCGGTGACCAGGGGGGNTCCCCAGGCCCCCTATACGTGTGTTATATCGCGTATGTACAGGTAAAAATCGTGCCCGACGGCGATTCTTTCGGATTCTCTATAAAATAAAGAAACACCTCGGTTACGCCTAATGCCACACACCGACTATGTACAGAAATTAGAACGCGAGAGCGTGTATATATATGTATGTATATATATATATAATATAGATTCTTTTATGCGCGTTCCACCGACAGGGCGAGTTATCGGTGACCAGGGGGGCGAGAACAGAATCGCGGTGGTTCGCGAGGATCGTTCTCGAATGTTGCGGGATTACGGTGTTGGGATTACGTTTCCTGTCACCGGTGACTCGCCGTGCGGCCGTACGATCTATAATACCCTCGAGAAACGTTACTCGCTATTCGTAATCGTGTATATCGTTAGTAAATTCTTAGATATGGTTGTTCCGCGGCCCGGCACCCGGCACACGGGGCTCCGATCTCGACCAATTCCATTCTTCCTTAAACCAGTGGAGGGATTACGACTGCGAACGGCGTGTGGATGAGATCTACGCGCGCTGCCGGTCGAAGGTTCTTTCGTCCGATCCGTCGATCATCGATCGGACTCCCATCGGTAATCGGATCCCAGCCGATCGAACGAACGAACGGCCGTACAACTTCCGGCCGGCAGCGGATAACCGAGTTGTAACGCGTGAAGTGCATCTGCGTCTGAACCGCGAGTCTTGCTTTCGTGGATCGCGGTGTTTCGTCCGCGCTTTCCGCATCGAAACAACGTAATCGGGGTCGTCGGAATCGGTTATCGACGTTTTCACGAAATAAAAGCAGCGACAGCCGCAAAGCGGATTTGCGATACTCCGCGGCAAACAATTGAGAACGAGATCGTCGTACTTCATTGTACGCTCGCGACGCTAATGGGACAACCCTCGTCCGTCCCTTGTCCCCCGTTTGAACGATCCGGGATCGCCTTCGTTGCATCGCTCGTTTGCAGAGTTATGCTAATTGTTCGCCAGCGGTGAAAAGCGAGCGAAATTGGCACGAGGAACGGACAAGAGAGTCGGTTGGTCGATCAAAGAGCCCGGCTCTCGATCGAGACGAAAGTCGTGTCGGCGAATGCGCGAAGACCCGCGGTTCGCCCTGATCAATTCCGGACGCGTTCCTCCCGATCGGTCGAACTAAGAATAATCGCGAAAGCCAGAGCAATTCACACGTTACACGGCCAAGCTTCGTCCGAGCGTCGGGGGGCTCGTCGAAGTTAACAATTCTATGTGCACTGTTCTTTCAACAACGATCGGAGCGGCGTGCGCGCGGCTGCCGGCCAGTGCGCAGCAAGTACCCTTTACAGTAAAAATATATTATCGCTACGATAGTACTTAAACTTTTTGACTAGCATGTTTATAGAACCGATCCCCGGGGGTGCGCGGCCGCGCGCGACAAACGGGCGCGTGACCGGTCTCCGGACCGGGGATCGAGGCTTTACGACCTAGAAACCGCGAGAGACAGCTCTGGCGTGTCGTCCTCCCTCCGATGTATACAATATTTACGCGAGAAAGTGTGGGGTACAATGTCGGCTTCACCCTTAAGACTACATCCTCCCGGCTGGATAAGTACGGCCTGGCGGCGTGGAGCGCGGAAGCCACGCCCGGGAGCGATCTCAAGGTCGATATACCGCGTTCTCGACTTAACTCTACGTTCCTACGCGAGCTTAGGTCTCTCTATACTCTTAGAGGGGCCTTGCTCTCGGCCACGGTGTCTCCCGCGAGGACCTTCGAATTTTCGCCTCGGACGGTCCTCGGACCACCCCCTGGGGCAACGGGTGGGAAAATGAGTCTCGAACCCTCGGTCGTCGCGAGAATACATCCAACCATCGGCGCCGAGAAAACGGATTCTCTCGGAACGCGGTACACGGCGGGGGGGCCGGGGCGGTGCCCCAGGGAGCATTCCTGTTCCCGATTCGGGACGCCGGCGGAAGACACGTGCGCGCGTGCTCGCGCGCAAGGTATGTAAGGTGAAAGAAACAAGAGGATCGTTTTCCCGATCCCGTGGAAAAGACGGTGGGGGATCGAATGTTTATAGTCTAGCTTCCTTTTAGATACTCTACTATTCGGTTGTCAACCACACGGCAACTATTATTCAGTTTCTTCTTCGTTTCCGTATTCCTTTTCTTTCTTTCTTTCTTTTTTTTTTGTTCAGTCTTGTGATAATACTACTTTAATACTTTTTACGATTCGCACGGTCGACCGACCGGTGTGCACGCACCCCCTCCCCATCCCCCCATACTATAGGTACCGTAATCCGCTTGCCGCGAAAGTTAGCACTGTGCACACGTAACCGGACCAGTTGGCTGGCTGGCTGGCTGAACGAACAGAGCGAGTGGTGGGAAAAGGATATAAGCGTGGCATTGCTGAAGCAATTAGTTGCTCGATTAACGGACGAGAACGCACCCCCCGGGGTCCAGGCGTCGGACGAAATTTCTTGTACAAGGCGTTCCAACCGATTTGACCGTCTATAATATCTCTGCCGTTGCTCGCTATCTGTCTAGCTAGTATCTCTCTCTTTCTCTCGAGTATTTCGTCTTTGGTATATAGATAGTACCGTTTCGAAGGGGTAAATTAAGTACTTAGGTCACTATCGGGCGATCCGCGGCCTATTCGTTTCCCAGACGGGTCAGATCAACGAGAAAGATCCTCTCGCGAATTAATTAACTCGTCTTTTGATTTATCTTTTTTTACCGGATAATGTTCCTCTAGAACTGAAAAAACAATATGTCAACGATAATCAGACATTGAGCGATACAATCATGATTCAGCGAACATTTCCCGGGGATAAGATCGAAAATAACGTTGTTATTAACGCTAGATTTACGGAATCCGTCAAAACGACGGGTCACTGATTTTTTAATTTACGATTGTTCATATCGTAAAGACACATTTACGAGTTATTTTATGTTACGGCAAATGATAGAATAACGCTTGTTAAAAATCAGAATAAATATCTTATTATTACTTTTATAAATTAATGTAAAACAGCTGTTTTTCTGTGCTCCGTAAATCTAGCGTTAATTGTAGCATTCTCGCAGAGCGAAGTGAAACAGCGGGACGTTTCTCGATCATCTGACGGAGATTGAGGACGGACAGGCGCGGGACCGCCCGGGTCTCTTAACGATCTACGGTAAGTTTTAAGTATCGAGCCGATAACAATGTCTCCGGAACCTCGAGCGGACCATTTTCGATCGAACGTCCCTGTATATTGTACAAGTGGATATTCCGTTTTCCAGCTACGCCAGCTGTATTATAGTAACGAGCAAACGATTCCCGGCTAACTTTACACGGTTAATGAACCCCCGTGTACATACACGCACACACACACGGAAACAGCGAAACACGCTCTCGTTGCCGTTGATCTTTTTGATTCTGAATACTGATTTGATTATCCGCTCCGTGGAGCATAATATATATGAAACACACAGAACAATCTGCTTTTAATATATCTCACAAATGCGAAAAACGTTCGATATATCGATTAGTTCTTTCATTTCACTCTCTATCCCTCGACGGTTCTCACCCTCTCTCGCCTCCCCCCAATCTCTTTCTCTCCTCTGCCCTACGCTCTCCCACCCCCGCCCCTAACCCCTCCCCCTTCCTCCCTTTAATATCAGCATATAATTCCCTAGCATTGCTATTTATTGCGTTCAGTATCACTGCGCTTGTGTATCGTCGACCGCGTCGACGCGCGTTGCAGAAAACTCGATTATCCGCGGTGCAAAGATTATTCGCGAACGATATTACACGACTGGTTGGACACATGCGGCCAGACAAAAGAGGAAACGAATTGTACACGCACAGAGAGAAGATATTCGCGGCCGGTTTCCCGGCCAGAGACGAGATCTAGTGCAATGCGCAACCTTGATTTCTTTAATCAAGATTGCACGGTAACATTTACCTTTTGTTGCTTTTTTTTTTAATGAAATACGAACCAGTCGTTCTAGCGTTCGGCTGTTCTATCGTTGAACTTCGACCGAAAGTTTGATTCTTGTTTTAGAATAAATGGATAGTCATGTTCGGTACATCGCTTTAAAGGGTAATGATTTTCCTCGAATAACTAAATTATTCTTTTAGAGTAACGGTGCATTATTATCCCGTCTCTGGCTGGCACGACCGTTTTAGTCTCTTCAAAGAAAAGTTCGAAGCTGTGCAGACACGTGAAACAGGCCTAAACTAGACTCGATCGCCCGGTACGATCACCTAGTCGTTCGCTTTTACCCCTTAATCGCCTACGTTTATAAATAGTTTATTATCAAAAAGATCCATCCTGCACCGACGAAGTAAAAATAAATATTACTTTTTTTTTCTCCCGTTTTGTATTATGTTTCGCTTCCTCCTCCTTTCGTTTCTTTTCTCTCCTATCTCACCCTCGTTTCTTTTCATCTTTTTCCTTTTTGGTAAAGAATTTCATAAACATATAGGTTCTTCGCGCAAGAAACAATCGTAGATATCCTTAAGTACGAATTAAAAAATATTCTCCGCTCGAGCGTTCGAACGCCTACGATATTACACGAAAGAACACACGGGGAACTTAATATTGCCGGTTCGCGCGTTATGCTAACAACTAATTCGTTGCGTGATCTACGTAAATGTCTAATAGGAAAATCATAGATAAATCGAGAGAAGCGATAATACGGGGGGAACGTATTACGCGTGCCGAAGAAAGTTTACCGTTTGTAAAAATTCAATAAAAATAACTTCGAGCTTTAGACCGTTCCTCATCTCTTTTTTCTTCTCTCCCTCATTTTTTCGCGTGTTCCTTAGGACTTACTCTTAGAAGATACTTATTCTTGTTTCTTTATAATCTATACATAGTGCCATCTTTGATTGCCCAGAGACTCTACAATATCCACCATATAAATCTCGTTAGAAAGAAGACCATTGACGGCTATATTACGTTTACACCTTAGCCTTTAGAAAATAACTAGTAAGTTTGAGAAACCCTGTGAATGCTTTGCAACTGACTACTTTCATTGCGTCTCTTTCAATTTTCCGTTTTTTCTTATTCCCCGTTTTTCTTTCCATTCTCTTTTCTATTATATCGCCTGTTCGGTCAGAATGCAAATAGAGATGACGTCTCATGTTAGACAGTACATGTATATGTATAAACACAGAGCCGCGAATTGCATTCCCTAAACCCCGCTGTACAGTACCCTAGAGTTTTTAGAAGTATACTCATATAAAATAAAACATATCCAAAAAACGATATATACTCATACAAAGAGTGTACGATGCACACGCTTCTCTCGCTCCTCCACTCTCTTATCTTTCTTTCTCTCTCTTTCTCTCCCTCTCTCTCTCTTTTGTTTTATCCTAGGGCAGGATTTTCTTACTATACAAACTATTACAGTTTCTTTCTTATTGAGCACATTTTAGAAATTGTTTGAGTCGTTGTAGGAAGTGTTTCGATTATTGACTTCATTTCGACTATACGCTAGAACCTAGACTGTCCTTGCCGCCGGAGGATAATCGTCCTCGGCGGCTCAGGTTCTGTTTGATTGTGCGGATTCATCTGTATCCTGTGTTTAGAGAAGAAGACATCGCAGCGACAGATATGAAAGAAAGTTTGAGAGACGACTACCTGTAGCTCAATATGATTCCTAATGCGAATCTTGGACTGTTTAAGATCGTGTCCTCAGTCTGACGGAATGACGCGCGTATGGCAGCTCCCTCCCAACTATTTCGAGCACCGTGAACGTCCCCTTGATCGTCGACGATAGAAGAAACTGTCCCAGTAAAACACAATTATGTTCGATGAAACGAATATTGTGGTAGACAATAAATTGTTCTTAAGATCACGCAAAACTCATGATATTGCAGGTCGTTGGATTCGTCTTGACCACGATTATCATGCTATGACAACAAAAATATGCAATTCCATTAATGAAAAAACGTAATCGTGTTTTCCTGCGACACTGTATTCCATTATCGACAACAGGGGAGACGTTCGAGATGCTCGAGTTAGTTGCTGCATATAATATATATATATATTTATATATCTATGTTGCGAGTTGAATAAATGCATCTCTTTGGAATGCATGGTTGCCTGTTGATACGCTAGATACCCGCGTATAGTGTAAACGGTCAGGATGCCCCGATTTCAATCCTTTTTAGACACGCGAATACTCTTACTGGTTTTGTTTGGAATTCCTAGGAACTTGAAGTGTTTCCGCTCGCTTCCCAAACAATGTTGCTGTGTTCAAGCTTCCTGGAAGAAGTCAACCAAGTCACGTGAGACCCACGGCCCTCGTGCTGGCGGTCCACGGTGTTGTTCCATCAGCCGTTACTTACATCGGGAAACAGAAAGTGTTCACGGGTCGGTTGCGGTTGTTCGAACGGCGAGCTGCTCATGTACCCAGGCGATGGGGACTCGCTTTTCTCGAGAACAGGCGTGATGTTCGCGTAATTTGCAGCCGGCGTAGTCAACGTTCTTCCTTGCTCGACGAGGATGCTTCTGTCTATCTTGTAATACTCCTTCCCGCTGCGGGGGCGTAGCGTCGTCGCCACTGCTCTGCCTCCCAACCTGCAACAAACGATTGATGAGAACAGGATCTTCCTATCAATGGTAGCAACCTTTGAGGACCAAGATCAATTACCAACAGGTCTTCCAAGATCGAAACTGTACCTTAAACTGTCCGGAGTGTCCGAAGACGAATGAGACGACAGCGATAGCGTCTCGATATAATCGGACATGTCGGATGTTCCACTGCTGGTGCTCCTCGAGTCGATGTAAGGAGTGCTGGACACTTCCCCGGGGCTGTTGAACCCTTTCGCGCCCTTTGGTAAACACGTGGGAATGTCAGCCTCGGCCGACGACGATTTCGTTGGTATCTTGATCTTCTGGAACTGGAAGGAGAGCTCTCGTAGCGGGTCGCTGGACTTGGACTTCCTGGGCAGGCTGCTGTGATAGCACGTGGGCGGCGGACTCTTCCGGTAGATGGACAAGACGTTCTGTTTCCTCGCAGAGGTCGACGGAGCCAGCGACAACTCGAATTCGACGAACTCGGCTGTTCTGTGGCTGAGAGAACCGGTCGAGACGCCGGAATCGTTGCTGCTGGAGGAGTCTCTGTTGTGACCAGTCTTGGATGGCACCGAAGACGATCGTCTGATCTTGATGAAGGAAGGCTGCGGCGAGGCTATCGACATCTGCCCGCTATCCTGGTTCATCTTCGTTTCCGAGTTCACGCAGGTGGTGTGACTGTCTGCCTGAACCAAGGCGGCTTTGTCAGCTTCGCTGGAGCATTTATGGATGGTCAAGGTCGACGGGAACGTGTGATTGTCGTCGTCGAGATAGTGAGCTGACTCTGCCGAGTACGATCGCTTCCTCAGCAGCAAGCTGATGTTCCCACTGGACTCGGTGCCGTTGCCGTCCAAGTAACGACGTCGCAAATAGGGGCTGGCCAACATCGCGGATCCAGGAACACGGAACTCGGAGTCTGATCGCTTCTTCCCGCCCTCGACCATCGCTGACCCAGACAGCGCGGGATTGCTGGAGCTCTTGATGCCGCTGCAGATCCTCGACAGGATCTCCTTGGAGCAAGCATTGTGCGCCGGTTGCATCGGTAAATAACCTGGGAAGGGTTTCTTTGGCGTTTGCTTTTCGGGGTCCATTACCAGATAATCGTTCTCCCTGTCCTTCACGTGGCCACACTTTTGGCAAATCTTGGACTCCTCCGCGGGGGGTTCGGGTGTCTTCTCTTTGATTTGATCGGCGAACTTCTCTATCTCCTCCTGGGATATTCCGCTTTTGGTCAAAAGATCCTTGCTGTTCTCATAATGTTCCAGCGACTGTGTGAAGTCGATATTCGCGTAGTTCGCTTGCTTAGGCTCGGGCTGAGTGTCGATCACCGGCTCGACATTCTCGTAGTTGTTGGTCCTGCTCTCCTGGAGGCAGTCGCAGTTCTCCTTCGTCTTATCATCTACGTTTTCGGACTTGTTCGTCCTCTTGGCAGTCGCGTAAATCGCGATTTCCCCGCTCGCGTTCACCACAGGCATCTTACCCTCGCCTGAGAGTTTGACGGGATGAACGGTCACCCCGGTGGGTTCAATTCCTGCTCCCCTCCTGCAGTAGGGCAGGACAAAGCCTGCCCAGCTCATCATGTTCTGACAAGGACACCCGGAGGATCTGGGAGATTGAACGGTCAGCTTAGCCGGGCAGCCGCATTGCTGCAGAACCACGGCTTGCGGAGTCTGCGGTGTGTCGTAGTTCGGATAGCTTTTTGGCAGTGCTAGGCATTCCTTGATCTTCCTCGGCGTGTCGTAATACTGATCAGGTTGGGGCGCCTGTTCGAGCAGCATGTGATGAGCCAATATCGTCTTGGGGACATCGTAGTTCTCGTATGGTCCTGCAGTCGCGGCAGCTGCATTAGCGGCGGTGATGCGACTGACCAGCTGCTGCTTTCGCGAGTGCACGCAGATTGGCTCGTTTGGCAGTGGCATTGGCGGCTTTTTCGCCTTCTTCGTGGCAGTGGTTTGGGACGGTTTCGGAGGTCTGGGTGGCAGCGAGCTGGGGCTAGGCGACACCCGCTGCGCCGTGCTCGTTTGTTGCGCGCCCTTTGTCTGCGAACAATGGCATTCTACCTGCTGCTGCGATTGCTGGGTGCCGGAGTAGTCGCTGTCGTGGCTGCTGGTGCTGTACGAGGACAGCGACAATCTATCCAGGGTACGAGCTTGCAAATGGCAGCCAAGATTGTTCATAGTTCCAGCGGGGCTGCTCACGCTGCTCGCGCCGGTGGTGGTCGCCAGGGTCGACGACTTCGAGACAGTACCTAGCTTGCTGATGCAACTAGCGCATCGCTCCAGAGCGGACGTCCCTTGACGAGTAAGGGAACAGCTGCGCCAATCGCCTGGCTGGTCTGGCAGCTCCGACACCGAGATCGTGTCTCTGCTGCTGTAATCCCTGTCGAGCTCCGTCTGCTGCCTGCTTTCCGCCGACGACCAATAGGGAGAGCTCTCGTTCTTGCAGCTGTCGCACTGCTCTTCGTACGTCGATGAGTAAACAGTCGAGGGGAAGAAGTCGCTGGCTCTAGTCTCCGACCGGGAAAACTGACGGCGAGGGCTGTCCTGCGACAGTTGCTCCCGACTTAGCGGCCGCTTCTTCGTCAGCTTACCCTCCGCAGCTAGTTGCAGCATCTTCACGATGTCCTCGCCTTGATCCGTGATCAACACGTGCAGACCCTCTCCACGGCCACATCTCGAACCGCCCTCGAAGCAGAACCGACCCTCCACCACCCCGTAACGTCGGAGATGCGCGATCTCCCAAATGCCCACCAATCGAGGCGGTATGCCAACAGTAATGCAAAAGCGGCGATCCTGAATGTGCAAATGGGCCGGTCCGTTCGTCAGCTTCGCCTTCGAGGGCACCGTCGAGATCAGGATCAGGAATTGCTGGTCTGAAAGTGTTAACCGCGGTCAAATAAAAGATATATCGTTAAGCTCAACTTCCTGCAGTGACACAGTTCTTTTAGACATCTTTTGCAAGCTCTTTAACAAGACTCAACAGGGGAGAATATTTTTGCATTGAACGATCAATGACAGATTCTGATGACCTAAAAGGACAGTGTGTCTTCGCAGAAGCAATCGGTTAGCTCTGTTTCTTTTTCCTGTCTTGGAGAAGAAGACGCACCTTCGCCAAGGTTGTTCGAGATCTTCACTTGCCATTGGATCAACCGTTCTCTGGTATCGAACGCCAAAACGACCGTAACGTCCTGGCATATTATAGCGATCGTGTTCGACTCCTTGTCGAGAGTGAAACCGCTCTCCACGCCGAGAAAGTGTTGCAAGCTCAAGGAAGCTTTCGTTTGGCCCTGCTTGTATCGATCCTTGCTATCTCCGTACAGTTGTAAATGAAGACAATCTGGAATCGATTGGATCATTATATTCCGGCGGGATGATCGTTCGATTGTTGAACATTTTCTTGGAAATTGTTCGGCTGAAATTTGATTCGTACTTTTAACAATATTACTCTAGGAATTAAACAAGAATTTGATTCGAAAATGTTATCTCGGGGAACGTGAAACTCTAAAAAGATAACAGCCTGAGATTCTGGCGATTTAATTTTATTCTGCTTTGAGAAATCATTCAATATTCGATAATTTATTAATTCGAGAAACGTCCATAATTTCGCTGGTATTGTTTGCTCGTGAATGAAAGGAAAATATTTTCATAGTGCGCTATTAATACAGTCATTCGGACGTGGGTATAGCTGACGAAATCCATTTAGACCCTTCTATGTACTCTAAACTAATTCTCCCTACGGAAAATTTATGAGCTACTGGTGTCCCCAAGTTCTAAAATATCCTCGAGTTACAAGGGCCCAGGTATTAATGGTTATTGCCAGAAGCAAAGCTCTTCTTGGAAATTTTTTTGTTTCTTCAGCCAGTCAATCTGTAACAGATGTGCCAGCTGCCACCCTAGGAAAGTCCATGGGGAGGGATTCTTCATGCTGATAACAAGTAAGGAAATTCTTTCAGGAGATTAGGACCAGAAATGTGCTAGGAAATAGAATTGCTTTGCTTGTAGCTTCAAACTGTAAATGTTGCAACATCTGCCTCCTTCCTTGATAACAAATGGAATTTATCATCAGACCCTTGGTCAATATTAATTGCACCATGGATAAGATAAAGAGACCGAGAAATTTATTATCAGGGTGTGTATGATGCACACTATGAATCACACATGGTGTATTTCACAATCAAGTCGGTGTGGTCTTGTCATTAAAATATTGGAGTTTCGTATTTTCGGCGTATTCGCTAATTAATTATTTATTTTATGTATTATATTATATTATGTATTTCGCTAATTAATATTAGCAAGTATAGAAAATAACATTTACCTGCGACTGGTGACAGTTTCCTCATAACACACCACCGTGATTTCCACTGCAAGGTAAACAAAGAGGTTTGACAAGGTTCCCAATTATTTTCATCTTAAGAAAGTATACATAATTATATTCTCATGGATGTAATTAAACACTCTCTGTTAGTGCTTGCTGCTGCTACAATAACAAGCATGACCTGGTACATTATGCTGATTTACATAAAGTGCCCCACATAGGGAAACATTGTGCACATGTATTACATATTTGTTCGAGTCCATTTAGCCCCCCCCCTGCACCCCTGGCATGATGAAAGTAAAAAGAGTTCTCAACCCTTTTTGATTCAACTGACTTCTTCACTGACCCCAATGTAAATAGAAGAAAATGACCTAGCTTTTTTATGGTCTTGTGCCTCCTCATTCCTTTCCCATTAACTTCCTCAAGCTTTCAACGAACTACTTAATCATTGGAACCCACATTGAAATCAGATTGGGACACCTTCATTCGACTTCTTAGCCGTGGGGGAAAAAAGTTGGCCATTGTATTTAAATTTGAATGGACTCGGCATATAAATAGAGGAGATGTTTGAATGACATTTATTGAAAACTTTCAAATAATATCAATAGAATACAATAACGAAATGCCTTTGGTTATTGTTAACATCCCAGGCAGAAAATTGTCTAACTTTAAAGCATTATGACCAAGTATATTGTATTCTCATACATTCAAAACATTAATATCAGACTCTGGTCTTTTTATGCAAATTTCTATTTTTACGCGATCTATTTCTCATTTTTTAACATACTGATTTCTTCGTGTTTCCAATTTTTCAACAGATCGTAAATTGATAAAGATCCACAATCGAATTACTGCACATTAATCTGCACATGTAGGGTGTCAAGTAATATTTTTATAGAGTTCAATGAACTGTAGGGAACTAACAGGATCATTGAGAGCAGAAATAGGTCTATGAAATTATTGCTCTATGTTATTCAACAACGAGAACGAATATTGCACGTACACGAATCAGACCAGCAACAATCGAATAGGCAATCGAAGAATTCGATTTATCATAGCAGTGGCATAAATCAATTAAGGCCACATCTGTTGAGGTGAGTCCAATGTACAATACATGCGTGTTAAGCGTGCACGTTATACTAGCTGTATAATAATTTTCTTTTCTTTCTTTTTCTGATTACACTGTGCTCAAGCGACTCTGAGAGGTGACTATTGCACGAGCACGAGTTCCGACGAAAATTTCTCGCCGACGAATTTCGCCGACGTCGGTGAGAAATGCGTGCACACGGGCAAAGCAAAGAGAAAATAGTAGCAGCGTTCGATAAATTGACAGGAGAAAAAATGTACCGCCGGCGTTATTTCGCCGAGGACCGAGCCGAGCAATTATACGATTTATGTTAATTGGTTGGCCGGATCCAGGGACGGGGGAAAGGTGAGCGGGTAGTTAACAGAGAAATTCGATCGAGGCTACTCACTTTTTTGCCGTCGCGAAATTTCACGTTTCCCTCGATAATACAATTATTATCCACCATTGTAGAAGGCCGCTGCTGCTGCTACACTGCTTTTAGGTGTTTTTCTCATCACTACGCGAAAGCACTCGGATTTAATCAACGCTGCACATCGGGTACACCGTAGAAGCACAGGCAACGCTCAAAGAACACCGTGAACGACAGCGTTTTCCCGGGCCGCGAATGACTTTCCCACGCAAAACAACAACCATGGGGCTCGTCGTTTTCACGAATCACGCGGCAAAATCCATACTCCGCACCGTCCGCGGCGAGCATCCATCTTGACAATCTTGGCTTGCTGCGTGCACTGCTCTGCGGTCCTGCTCCCTTTCGAGAGCGTATTCTGCACATTATCCATTCCCCTGCACTTCGAACCACTGGCGTAACACCTACCTTTTTCTACACCCACGAAAATTCCCTCCGACTGGGGGCGCCTATGCGCCCCAAGGCTCCATTTACAACGCTGCACGCCGTTACATTTCGGCGATCTCGACGAACAATATTCGATCTCGCTCTTACACGCTCCTCTAAAATATAGTTGCTTAGAAGATCGTCTCTTAGTTTTGAGATTCTTTAAAATTTGTATATCGGTATCTTTAACCTATTTATTTCTATTTTTACTATGCAAAAGTGCAGCCAAAAGTAGATTTTATATTGACTTTCATCAAAAAAGGAGGATCTCGATGTATTTTGATTCTAAGATTTCAATATAACAGTGTTACGTATTAAATATTTTAATTTGAAAGTATTATCGCGATCCCTAGCGTATGATGACCGGTTGAACAGTACGTAATGCTGGACACTGTTAACTGGGGCTGAGAACTAGTTCCACGTTGCCACCGCACTGGTCCATGGCGTTTCAGACTCAGTTGAACTCAGTTAGGCTTCGTAAGGACAGAGAACACACGTGCTGTGTTGTCCTTTGTAATTTGCGGCGTAGTAAGGAGCCATCTATTTATAAGAAAACTTAACCTATGTCAATACATTGGAGTTTTTCGTTTGTTTACCATGAGTATGCCGGTATTAACGAAACAACAACAGAAACACAGCCTGTCGGCGAAGAAGACCTCTGTTAAAGGATTGCGAAACGTTCTAGCACAACCGCAAGACAGTTTTTGGTAGGTCTCCGTTTCATAATATTGATGTTTCATAAATGAAACGCGAATAATTGGTAATTACATTTCATAGGCCGATCGTAAAAGAATCGAAGAAACGTTCGCAACTGGAAAATCTTTTAATGAAGTAAGTCGAATGTGGTATATAATGTATGCTAAACTATTGTGAAAATGTAATTTGCACAATTCATTAATTGTAGGTTGATGCCGACTGTAAAACGCCCGAACTGTACGATTCCTTGGTCCCAGCTGAAACAAATGGACAAGGATGAACGAAGGAAATTGAAGAAGGAGTCAGTTCTGAAACAAGAATGTATTCCTGATGCTGAAATACTGTAACTATTTTTATTTACCGTGTTAAGTGTTATTTCTTAAATTTCTATATTGTTCCCATTTGTTTTAGAAATTCAGTTGTCTTCGGTTTGAATGCTATTACAAGGGCTCTAGAGAAGAATATTATTTCCTGTGTAATAATGGATGCCAATATTGATCCGCAACTTCTAGTGAAACATATTATTGTTATGGCGTGGAATAAAAAGATACCCATATTAACATTACCCAACTTTAAAACCACTATATTAAGTGCTATCGGATTTTCATCTGCCGCCTGTGCTCTTAAGGTACAACACTAATATATATTATATTATATTATATGTATATTGTATTTGTTATATTTATATTGTTTTATTTCCAGGATATTGTGGCAAAGTCACCGCAACATCATTTTTATCAACTCTATATGAAAATGTGTGATATATTTAATGATACACCTTTACCAAAATATTCGCTTCAATTATTTAAAGATGTCGAAGAACATTCACATGAAATAGTGGACGAAGAAGACATGATAAATTTGGAGAGTGAGTCAAAAGTAAATGTTTCTGAACCAATTAAATTTACATTATCTACGGATGTGTATAAATATAGAACATCGCGCAAAGAGCGAGCATTTATTCCTCCAAGTGCAATGAATAACTTCACCAAAGAAAAAACCGATACAGATGACTTTATTTCTCTTACTAATTATGACACAGACGAGTTCGACGCAAATATTCATAAAAATATGCGGTATATAAATATTCATAAAAATAAATATAGGGGTAAAAAGAATTTTAATGTAAATAAAAATGCTGCAAATATTACCTACTTACCTTTGAAAGTAAAACGATTGCAAGGTAATAGAAATCGCGTGAAAGCTACAAAAATGTCGAAACAGAAGAAAAAGTGATAAAATGACAATGCATGTATCCAAATATCCGAGATATTGGAGCTAATAATTTTTATTTTAAATTACAATAAATACGGAATATGTAAATACAATTGTACAAGACTATTACCGTTTATATAAATGTACAGAAATGTAAGAATACAGAATGTAAGGTCTTTTTATACATATAAATACATTATATACAAAACTTATAATTGTAATTGAACTAATTCTGTAGTTTCGATTCTTGGAGCCTATGTTTCTTATAATAGGACTGACGTCATGATGGAAGTATCAGTCTTTTAGACATAATGTTCTTACTTAATTGACTATAAAACAGTTTTGTCAACAGGTTGTCGCTCGCATGTAAAATTGTTATATTTTTTAAATGCAAAATGAATGTTACAATATCAATCTCACGTGTATATATTTGATACCTAAACAACTATAATATCATACAGGTAACGAAGAATTCACAGAAGACTTGAACATTCTTGAAAAAAACATTAAACCCTTAGTACCTCCAGGTATATGACTCACTAAGAACGACAACATAGCTATTGTTTGCAGAACAGCGCACAGTACTGTCAAGGGTGTAGACTGTAAATGTAAAGCGAAATACAACGTTCCAATCAGAGTGGCCAAGAAGCACACTGTAAAACACCTCCTTTCAGCAGTGAATAATGATTTCAAGTAATTTACAGGGCCCAGGAGGAAGCAGAAACTATAAAATAAATGTAATTAGAAATTTTCAATTATTTCCATTTGTATAATTTGCACGTACCTCGAAAGGAAGAATACGCTTCCCAATGTGTACAGGAGAGCAAATTTCCTTGCTTTAAGTAATAAAACTGGAACATAGAGCGCAGACAGACAGAAACAAAGTACACCCATGCCAAAGCATACGACAAACGCGAACAACCTCTGCATCCGTGACTATCAGGTACAAAAATGTAATTTATTTACTTATTATGAAATGGATATTTGACGTTTGAGGTTATGTACGGGAATATACTAACCATAGTAGGGCAACATTCTTTCTGTGCACCTTGTATCCAGCCTGCTTCTTCTACTTCCTCGTCGCCGCTTCTTCCGAACCATTTTCCAATGTTCGTTTTCGGCAGTGTCACCGACGGCACCGTAATTTTATATTGTTTTTCATTTTTATTGCTTAGAAGATATTCGTTCAGCTCTTTGTTAAGATCGGCCATTTTGACACGTTGCCATGCTCTATATTTACCAGACGTGTGTGGACGGATTCTAAATTCAAATGAATATTGCAAACGTCGGTGTTTATATGACTCAAAATCTACTTAGAATGAAATCTTTTACAACATCGTTAACAATTGAAACATAGATTCAGTGTGACAGCATATACATAATGTACGTACGCACATATAAACAGAGGGATTGGATACGATTGGATGCGTGAGTATCCACGCCCGGGTTTTCGGCGCGCCAATGCGATAACTTTAAACTGCTGGGATCTGTCACGTTTGGCTCCACGTTAGCAGAGTTTCTAACCCACATATTCCACAGCAGCATAATTTATAAATAAATGATAGTTGTCTGAAACGAATGATTCGTACCGTACTTGCCGCAAGGCGTAATGTAAATTTCGGCAAAAATGATTTGCTCCGCAAATCTAAAAATAAAAATTTCCGAAAGTGGCGCCACCTGTGGACAAATGTAGAAGCTCCTTTCAGACTTCTGTACAGCGCCGATACATGCAGTGACAAAACGCTCAAACTGGTAGACAATTATCAACGGAGGGCTATGTAATTATCATGTGTGGTATATAGTCAAATAAATGAAGTTAATTATAATGTTAACATCACAGACGAGATATAGGAGCAGACTTCCATAGTCTGTCTGCGATATAACTTAATAATTAATCCATGCAAAGTGTCGATAAAATAGAAGGCCGACAAACAACGCCATCTATATTTTACAAATATTTATCGATTATCGATAAATTTGGCGAACAGTTTGGGCGTTTTCTCACTACCTGTTTTGCGCTGTACGGACCCCTAAGATGCTTCTATAAGTCGCCACAGCGGCGCCACTTTCGGGCGCGTTATTTAAAGAAATAAAGAAACGGTACCACGATTTTATGGATTCCGCGGAATATTATAAGTAATAATACTTTTTATATCGATGATAATATCGAACTAATTGCTGTATACTTAGAAAGTAATAGCAAAGTAGTATGGGAGATCGACATTTTAAAATATTTTAGGACATACTGTAAAATCGAAATTATTGGAAATTATAAGAATGAAAGAATTATAAGAGTTTTATTTCGTTTACTGTTGTGCATTTCTTCTTTCTCTAAATACTAAGTCTGAAAACAATTCTTCGAATGATTGTAGTTTTGGAGAATAGATCGCTTTAATCAGATTCTAATTTTCATGTTTACAAAGCTCCATAAAAGTTTAGAAAATCTTACATTTGGAAGGTCATAGGTCACTCAAGAAAATTTGGTCACAGATAAAGCATCGAGTTTTCTATTCCATTTGGAATACAATAAAAATTAAAATAAATGAAATAAAATAGCTTCTGAATCTAAATCAATGAAAACAGATCATGGAACAGTTTTTATAAAAAAATAATAATTCAACATAAAAGAAGAGAGAAATGTATACTAATTCTCAGTGTAGGAAAGCAAGCTTCGACGTGTAGCTGTGTAGACTCTGAAACCGTGACCAAAAACTCCCCCAAGAAAACGCCGACAATATTGGTCCCGTTCCTTCTCTCATTTCTCCAATTCGTCTCGCCCTTCGTCGATTCGCAAAGATCGACTGCACAAATTGCTTCCTCGAGAATAAGAGACGAAGGCGAGCAGAAAATGAGTTGAACGATGCGCAGAACACGCTATCTATTTAGGATCGATGGGAATGGCATCAAATCGAGCGACCAGCGATGAAGGCACCATCAACAACTTTCGACGTCACGGGAAGCGTAGCTATTCGTGTTTCCAGCATGACACGGGTCTCCGTTTTCCGTGCCATCCGGTTTACGTCGTGATCCACGTCGGTTTTACGAGGTGACGACTGACGAGAAGCACGCGGCCCTACTACCCACCACCAACGAACGCCTCGTGTGTTGCGAATTGCCGTCAGAGGATAAACAAAACCAAGGAATCGCGATCCTTAAACATAGTTGCTGCGTTCGAACAAAGCCACTGGAATGGGGAAACGAACTGCAACCCGTCGAAACACGTTGCTTTTCCGAGTCGCGAACTGTGACCTTTCTCGACGCAAATTGTTATTTATCCTGGTCGAAATTAAATTCTCGAAGTATATATTTGTATATAATATAATAATATAATATATATATATAATAATAATATAATATATTTATTATATATAATATAATATACGGGGTGCCCTAAAAATGTCTCGCAATCCGAAAGTGGCGGATTTCTCAGGTCATTTGAAGCAACTTTTTCCTTTATAAAAATTTTCTCCGAGGTACCCTTAATGAGTTATTAACGAAAAACAGTGACCAATGAGTGGCGAGCTCAGCTGGCGCGAGGCGACCGAGCCTTATTGGTCACTGTTTTTCGTTAATAACTCGTTAACGGTGCCTCGGAGAAAATTTTTGTAAAAGAAGAAGTTGCTTCAAATGATCTGAGGAACCCGCCATTTTCGGATTGTGAGACATTTTTGGGACTTATTAGGACTATATTTACTATACTATACTATATATATACTACTATATACACTATTTGGGACTATACACACACACACTACTACTATATATATATTATATATACTATTTGGGACTATATTTGGGACTTTGAATTTATAATATATTATACATTATATTATTATATATTTTTAAATATATATTATCATTTAAAAAGCTGACGTGACCGCCGACATCTTTAAAAACTTCAAGAATTCAATTTTCAATTATATATAATATATATTATATTTTCAAAACAATATATATATATTGAATATTCAATTTAAATTTAAATAATATATTTTAAAAATATATTGTCAAATATATACATATACATATATGAATATTTGACGTCATAATACTCTAGCTGGTATCCAGACGAATCTACTAGACCATAATCTTAGATCTCGAAATAATGCAAAAATCATTTTAGTCGCAAAAAGCGACTTAAATAGCGTTTAATTTTTCGCATTTCGAGCGATCTCCAAAGAAGAACTTACGCTCTGTCGATTCTAATCGCAGCGAATCCGCCGCGAGAGAAACGATGATTTTCTTCGGTTTCCAAGATATCGGCGAACGCTCGCTGGAAAATCAATTATCGCCGGTTCGAGGAGGCCGTTTAATATTCATGCATTCTCGGTGTCGTTCAACAGAAAACGCAAATGGAAACGAGTCGAATGAGCGCAATTACGCTTTCGTGCCCGCCGACCGAAGAAAGCCAGACCGATCTTGGGTTAATTAACCGTGTCGCGGGGGTGGTTTCCGTGGACCTTCGACGCCGCACAAAGTTTTACGCCGGTATAATTGCTCGAAAGCGACAATAATGCCGGGGCTCTTCCGTTCCACTTCCCCTATTTCCATGTTTTACGTCGCATCAACTGCTCTAGTTCGCCTGTCTTCGACTTGGTAAAACTTATCGGCGTCCTGGCAGTTTTACGAGACCGGGATATTTCGAGATCCGTTTCACGAAATTGCCGAGCTTTCGAGCCTGGAAGACGGAACTGAAAAGACGGAACGAGGATATAATACTTTCAAAGGAATTGGTAATATGGTCAGTTTCGTTTTTTCCTTTTTTTTTACGCGAACAGAGGTGCATTTGTCGAACGCTTATAAAATAATGCGTGTACGGGTTTACAGTTTAAAATGTACTGTGCCCAATTAATATAAATATAATAATATAATAATATAATAATATAATAACATAATAGTATAATAGTATAATAATATAATAAAATATAATAGTATAATAATATAATAATATAATAATATAATAGTATAATAGTATAATAGTATAATAATATAATAATATAATAATATAATAATATAATAATATAATAATATAATAATATAATAATATAATATAATATATATATATAATATATATAATATAATAATAATATAATACGGTGCCCAATTAACCACCGCGAAGTTTAATTTCACATCAATTAATTAATTACCTCGGAAACATGGCGGACGAACGAAACACGATCGACGAAATCGATTTCGCCATTATCTCGAATTTTCCAAACATCGAAAAAGTGAAAACTCGTGCAAAAATCAGCGATCTATTAGTAAAATGCGCTTCGCTACCAACAACGAGTTGTTTCCTCTTCGAACAAGCGAGCAGAGTGGTTCGATGAATAGAACGGGTGGGGGTGGGTGGGCACGTGAGGGATGATTTCGACGATGCTTCGGCGAACGAGTGCTTCATAGATCCAATTTGCGCGAGTTTAACGGCACCCTCTCGCAGGACTATGAAGAGGCGGGATACTATGCTTTTAATCCGTGGATGTCGATTCATGCTCGACCGGCGACATCCACGGGCGCCCTGGGCCGGGCGCCGGGGCCGGGAGGAGTGCAATTAAAAGTTTTTCGAGCTGTCCGTCGTCCATGGTTCCGCTGCTGTTTCCTTGGCCGGCGTCGAGAGACCAATTACCGGAATGCCGCGGAGCCGTTGTCGGCCCGATTCGGCCCGCGGAAAGGTCAGAGCTTTCCAGATCGTTCCGATCGCGCCGGGATGCAACGAGCGCGTGGGCGTCGCGCGGCTCTGAATGAATTCGGAACCGCCTCAGTCTTATTATAGATGCGTCTACAATGGCTACTTAAACTATTACGCTGGAATTTGCCGGCGGCCGAGATTACACGGACGTGTAATCTCATTTTTCTCGGTTGGACACGCGAACTTTTGTCGCCGGAAATAGTTGGAAATATTAGCGAATCGCGGATCTTCGCGCACTTATGGCGTATGGGGATTTGTGAGATGCAAGAAAACGTATGAATTAACGGGTTCCGGGAGCATTTCTGTTTTATTTTTGCGATGAGCAATCTCTTGTTCGGCGAAAGGAAGCTTTTCTTTTTTAATCCTCCGCGACGATGATGATTTCATGCACAGGGCGAGTGCACGTGAATTTCTTCGTTGGCATGAAGAATGAAGGACAGTTGCAAAAGTGAAACGAAACAGTTCAAAGGGTACCAATAGATTTTTTGATTAACAAGTACAACCGAAAGATGGGACGTTCTACATATAAAAAAAAAGTCCAATATAAAAAGAAAAATACTTTTGTCATTTATGGCTGCGTTATAGAGAAGAATGCGTCTGAAGATGCGGCAAGGTCGCGTGGCTGGTAGACAAGAAGTAGAATTGGCATGCCATGGCCAGACGCGCCAATTTATTCCTATTCAATAGTATTATTTTGCAAACTGAAGAATCATCGCGCAAAAAGGTTGACTCTAATTTTTGTGAAATGACTCGTGATAATGAGAATTTGTATAAAAGATCCGCAATCTATAGTTATCAATAAACCGCGATATTCGTCCTAAAAGCTCCTCGCGATCAAATGTTTGCATTTCTATCCTTCATTTCAATCCTTCGTTGCCCATTCTAGCTAAGAAAGCTCGCGACGAGTCGGTCCCGTGATTTCAGCGAAAAGGGTTGACCGCGTTGCAGCATTAAACACGCCTGCACAATAATTATTTCTGCAAAATAAGGTTTATCAGCGAATTTCATTCGGACTTTATTTGCGAACAAATCGCGAATATGAACGTCTACCGTTATTCAAAGTGAAATGATTAAATCATTAAATCATTAAATCATTAAATTATTCAATTATTAAATTAATTATTAAGTACAATTATTCGCCTTATAAATAAATAAATAAATATCTAGAATTAAAAGCCTACACCCGCTGGCCTAAATTTCGGCTCGGTTAACAAATTCCATTGGCTAAATTTCCATTCGTAGAAACCGTCCGCTTAAAAACCGCTTCGTTGCTAGACAATCGAATTTTATATCCGGTCTGTTCGAAGACAACTTGAACAGAGAGATTTACTCGAACATCGAAGAACTCGCTCGAACAAAGCGGCTCCGGCGAGCATCCGAAGCTTCACAAGCGGCGAACCTGTTATCCGCCGGTGTCCGCGGGGGGAAGCCGCGTACGCTGGGGTGCAGGAATTTGACAATGCGTGGCAAAGTAGGTCGCGTCTGACCCGGGCAAGACGTCGGAGCGGAGAAAAGTCGGCGAAAAAGGAGCAAACAGCACGAAGTTTGCGGGCGGAGCGCGCCAGTTGCCGGTCAACTGTGCTCTCTATTAAGGTCACAGTGGGACAGTTTCCCTGCGGCGGCGTTTCTTGCTCGCCGATTCGCCGCCGAGGGGGTGGGCCGGGTTCGATCATGCATAAACAGGAAGGGTTCGCCGCTGATTTCGCCGCGGAACCGTCGCGCTCCGCTCGCTCGTACGCGATTGAAAAGCGGACGGTACGTGGGCCGAATCCTCGCCGGGATTGTCTCCATTAGAATCGATCTGTATGCCCGGCGCGGGTGGAATCGTCGGCCGTAGCTGTCGTCGAGGGTTCGACCGAGCCTCGTAAACGCCTTCTCCCCGTGGAGAAGTCGGCCGACGAACCTCCCGGGTACGTACAAGGGAACATAATCGCGTGATCGTCGCCGAGTAGCGAGGACTACGTCGTAAGCCCTCTTGTCGATGGCGCGGGAAAGCTGATCGAATATATCCGAGGCCCTATCGCGTGATGGAACTACGACTTCGAGGAGCGGATCGACCTTAGTCGATCGGGTTTTGTGGCGGACCAGCGTAGGCTGCTTTTATGTCTTCGTTAGAACGTTTCGGCGGACCTTCAACAGCCACGGAGTCGTAACCCGGGTGTTCTTGGTGGCCGTTGCTTCGCGGAACAACCATCTTAGGCACGTTCCACGTGCCGGTTCAATTTGTACGAGTTTCTTTCGTCTGCGACCGCCGAATCTCAGCAGGAAATACAGTAATGTCTCTCTAATTGACGCTGAGATTGTCCAGAAAAATGGACAATTTGGGAAGAGGAGATACGATTATTCGAGCTATGGGGTTTGTTGTTACAGTTACGAATTATCAACAACTATAGAGAGAGAATCTCATTCAGAATATAATATGTAGCAACGATCATTAATTAACAACGACGATAACAACGAACATGCAGCTTAAGCTTTCATTCGCCTTCTCTTTTTCATAAAACTTTGTAATTTTGCATTTTGCACAAATCCTCGCCGAGATAATCATTTCAGATTCCGTATCGATCCAGAGACCAATGATCAAATCTTCTAACCAAGCTGCACAATCAACGCGGGGCAAGAAAATTCATTCGACTGCTAAACGAAGCCCGCTTACGGTAATGTCTCTCTAATTGACGCTGAGATTGTCCACAAAACTGGACAATTTGGGGAAAGGAGATACGATTATTCGAGCATTGCGATTTACTTTTATAGTTATAAATTGGCCACAATTAGAAAAACGGGCCGCAAGTCTCGAATAATCGTATCTCCTCTTCCCAAATTATCCATTTTAGTGGACAATCTGAGCGTCAGTAAGGGAGACATTACTGTAAATGTCTTATTGCTACTTCTATAAACTAATATTAAACAGCTGTTTTTTGGGCTCCGTGAATCTAGCGTTACGATTATTCGTGTCGTAAAGATACATTTATGAGTTATTTACTCAATTTATATGTTACTTACGGTAAATGTTACAAAAACACTTGTTAAAAATCAGAATACAGTAATGTCTCTCTAATTGACGCCCAGATTGACCACAAAAGTGGACAATTTGGGAAAAGGAGATACGATTATTCGAGCCTTGCGGTTTACTTTTATAGTTATAAATTGTCCACAATTATAAAAACGAGCCGCAAGGCTCGAAGTAATCGAATCTCCTCTTCCCAAATTGTCCACTTTTGTGGACAATCTGTGCGTCAATTAGGGAGATATTGCTGTGTTTCTGCTGAGATTCGACGGTCGCAGATGAATGAAACTCGTACAAATCGCACAAACTTGCTTTATAATTATTAACAATCAGCAACAATTAGCCGCGAGGCTCGAATAATCGTATCCCCTTTTCCCAAAATTCTCCATCTTTGTTTACAAGCTGAAGGAGAAAATTGAGATCAATTCACTGTAACTAAGAGCATAAAGAAAACAAAAATTGTCCGCTTTAACACTAGATTTACGGAGCACAAAAAAAACAGCTGTTTCATATTAGTTTACAAAAGTAACAATAAGACATTTATTCTGATTTTTAACAAGTGTTATAATGTAACATTTAACGTAAGTAACATATAAATTGAATGAATAACTCATAGATGTATCTTTACGATACGAATAATCGTAGATTAAAAAATAAGTAAATCGTATCCCCTCTTCCCAAAATTCTTCATTTTTGTTTACAATCTGAAGAAAGATTGGGACCAATTCACTGTAAATAAAAGCATATAAGAAACAAAAATTGTCCGCTTTAACACTAGATTTACGGAGCACAAAAAAAAACAGCTGTTTCATATTAGTTTACAAAAGTAACAATAAGACATTTATTCTGATTTTTAACAAGCGTTATGATGCAATATTTACCGTAAGTAACGTATAAATTGAATAAATAACTCATAAATCTATCTTTACAATACGAATAATCGTAGATTAAAAAAAATAAATAAATCTAGTGTTAACTAAGGAAATTATTAAGGTTATTTCAGAGCGAATCGCCGCAGTTGCGGAAGAGATCCTAGCGCAAAGGGTTAATCTTTCGTACGCTACCGCATGCACGGGACTCTTGATCGTCACTTGGTCGGACACTTGCTCGAGTCGAGACACTTGCACTTTTTCGAAAAACCATTGATCTCGGCATCGCGCAGATGTCCGGCGATGTTACTGTTCCCGATCCCGTGCGATTCCGCGAACCGCGCGAGAAAAGGATCGTCTAATTTTGGCGAAGCCGATCCTCGGCCCGTTCCGCATGGGCGCACCATGTTTGAGAGGCACCGTGCCGCGTCAATCTGCGTACGTGGGTGTGTCGGTGGCGTGAACTCCGTTTATTATGCTAGTCGGTTTGCCTGGCTTATATTGTGCCGGCCGGCACGCGTTGTAAACGCGCCGCCGTTCTTCTGCAGCCGGCGATCGCGAAGCGTCTTCCCGCAATCCGCATCCGATCGCTCATTTACCCGGCTGTCGCGGCGGCCCGAGGATCATCGAAACGGTCCGCGAGGATCCAACGAACGACCCGGCGAACAGTCGTCGATCGATCGCACACGTCGCCGTCCCGAAACACGGAAAACGCGCCCGAAATTACTCGGCGAATTCAAAAGACGAGTTCGAACTCGCTCGCCGGGGAAGTGAAATTTCAACGGCAAGAGAGTGCGCGCAGCTCCAGGAATTCTCGAAACTGTAATTCATCGATCGAAGTTACAACGCGGCAGGGAATTTCCGAATTTTTTCAGTGCGGTTCTTCGACTCGAAGTTTCGGGGAATTAGCGAATGATCTCGACTCGCGATTCTACCGTGCACGTTACGACAGTGATCGAAAATCCGACAGTGGATAAATATGCAGAGTTTGTAAATAAATGTCTAATGTAATAATATAGTTTGATATGATACAGTACATAAAACCATAGACAGGAAATCGATAATAGAAGAAACAGAAGAAGTACAAAGAAATATAAAGAAATAAAATAAAAGATAAAATAAAAATACGGAAATATCAAAAGAAATAAAATAAAAAATAATATATAGATACAGAAATATCAAGAAATAAAATAAAAAATAAAATAAAGATACAGAAATATCAAGAAATAAAATAAAAAATAAAATAAAGATACAGAAATATCAAGAAATAAAATAAAAAATAAAATAAAGATACAGAAATATCAAGAAATAAAATAAAAAATAAAATAAAAACAAAGAAATATCAAGAAATAAAATAAAGAATAAAACAAAGATAAAGAAATATCAAGAAATAAAATAAAAAATAAAATAAAAATAAAGAAATATAAAGAAATATCAACGACAACCGAACAGAACATTTGGAGCACACTGCCTCCTGCCGATCATTTTCCATCGCGACCGTTCTCCTCGCGATCATCGCGCAACTTTTATTTCACCGAGACTTCCGCTCCGCCTTTAATTAAACCAGGCCGCGGCAAGGCGGCAACGTTTCATTCCGACGGCCGCTATGCTCGTAAATTCCGCCGCGGACGTTCCGGCACCGTTCTCTTTCCGCTGAGACGAGTCTGTGCGAGCGCCTTCGAGGGTGCACGCCGATCATCCCCGGTTAGGGGAGCCCGGCGAAGCCAGCCATCCGCTAAAATGTCCGGCAGAAGGACACCGGTGGTGTTCGACGACTTTTTTCGCCTGCCGACGACGGTACCTGTCGTCGCGTGAACCCGAGAACGATTTGCCGGACCCATCGCCGCCTACGAGTGATCTATGTTCGAGCCTGGGAAGACCGAACGAGCCGGAACATTTCAAAGCCGGAGGATTATTTAAATCTGTCGAGGGGAAGGTGCTTTATGTCATTGTCACGGCCATGCCTCTGCGATCCGAAGCCTCATCCTCCTCCAGGGATACTTTGAACACCGTTACCACCTCGGTTAGTTCTCGATTTCTTCGTTTTGCCGGTCGTTCGTGGCCTCTCTCCAATTTCACATTCTGGAATTTCAGATATTTCATTCTGTTATTATTATTAATTACTCAATTATCAGTATTATTATTCAATTATTTAACTGTTATATTATTATTATCCAATTATTCAATTATTCAGTTATTATACTATTATTAAGTAATTATTCAATTATTATATTATTATTATTATTCAATTATTCAGTCATTATTCTATTATTAAGCAATTATTCAATTATTGTACTATTATTACTCAATTATCAGTATTATTATTCAATTATTCAACTGTTATATTATTATTATTCAATTATTCAATTATTATACTATTATTATTCAATTACTCAGTTATTATACTGTTATTAAGCAATTATTCAATTATTATACTATTATTATTCAATTACTCAGTTATTGTACTGTTATTAAGCAATTATTCAATTATTATACTATTATTATTCAATTACTCAATTATCAGTATTATTATTCAATTATTCAACTGTTATATTATTATTATTCAATTATTCAATTATTATACTATTATTATTCAATTACTCAGTTATTATACTGTTATTAAGCAATTATTATATTATTATATTATTATTATTATTCAATTATTCAGTTATTANATTCAATTATTCAGTCATTATTCTATTATTAAGCAATTATTCAATTATTGTACTATTATTACTCAATTATCAGTATTATTATTCAATTATTCAACTGTTATATTATTATTAAACAATTATTCAATTATTATACTATTATTATTCAATTATTCAATTATTATATTATTATTATTCCATTATTCAATTATTATACTATTATTATTCAATGATTCAATTATTATACTATTATCATATTATTATTTGATTCAGTTAGATATTTTATGGTACAAATGAATGGACGAATTCCAAAAATTTGAAGTTGTTGAACAAATTGTTGAGGATTGTTACGCCATTTACGATTCGCTAAATTCGTTGAAAAAATAATTTGCATTTTTATTGAATTTTTATCTCTGGCTTAGAAGTTCCGTCTTCGAAACATTTTGCACAAACACACGCGCAGTTTAGTTACACACAATTCAAATACAACCACAGTGATTCACGAAAGTGTTCGAACACCGTTTAATATAGAACAACTTTTTAAAAATTGCACCGAACGACTTGAATTTTTTTTGAGATGTTAGGAGGAGACAAGACAATGCCAACAATTTCTTTTTTTAAAAATTTGCAATTGTTTGGGATGACAAATAAAATAAGAGACTCGCGTTATTTTAACATTGTTTTCTGGATCTTAACTATACGTGATTAGCCTGTGGATTTTTAGGCAAAATAGAAATCTTTTAAGGGAGAATTTCCGAATCGGAGAATCGTTTTTTCTTAAATTAATTTTGCAAGTTGTGCAGCGATGATGTTCTTAAATTTGTTTAATTTGTTCAATTTCTTCTTCGTGGCTCGTCTATACATTTTTATCGTAACCACGTAAAATCCGCGATCTATCTACGTTATCTTACACGATTAATTTGTTTAACATCTCGTGCATGAATATTCTGTTGCTGTTTGCGATCCGACCGACGCGAAATCGCACGGCGACGTGAAAAATTAATGTTCGATGGAAACGTTCGTATATTTCATTATTTCGCTGCGGAACAATTACGGTCCCCGGCGCAATCAAACAGAAGGGCCACTTAGGTTTTCGCGAAAAATCTATGGTAAACAATTATTTCGTCCGGCCGATGAAACGCCGTCAAATTGACGCTTGACCTTTCGCACAAATTCGACCGGTCACTACGAATGGAAACGCGGTAAAGTGTAATTACGAAAGTACAGGCTGACCTTTTATTTCCCGGACTTTTCCTTTAGTCTGTTACTGCCGCCGGCAATATTTCCGTGGTGCGCGCCGTCGTTTATAAGTTCCTGCTCGCTTCCCATTTGTTTCGATATGTTGAAGAACGAGCGATATTTCTCGAAAAAAGGTTTTAGCGGGGGTCTATAAAGTAAGTGAAATTTATGACCGCTCGCCTCCGAAGTAAAACTTCCGATAAAAAGCTCGCTGCTCTTTAAAGGCAAAACGGGTATTACTTCTGTTTCCAGAAACATTCCCCGATCCTTCCACCGTATATCATAGCCGTGTCCGACTGCGTAACGATCTGAAATGCAAACGTCGCGTTTAAAATCAAACGCGGGCACACCGTTTACGAAAACCGCGACACGGCGTAAATCAAAACCGCCTAACCCAAGCACGTGCGCCAAAGTATTTCACAAATTCGGTTCCTGTTTAATTGCCGCAACCTTTAACGCTAGATTCACGGAGTTTATAGAAGTAGCAATAAGACATTTACAGTAATGTCTCTCTAATTGACGCCCAGATTGTCCACTAAAATGGATAATTTGGGAAGAGGAGATACGATTACTTCGAGACTTGCGGCTCGTTTTTATAATTATGGACAATTTATAACTATAAAAGTAAACCGCAAGACTCGAATAATCGTATCTCCTTTTCCCAAATTGTCAAGTTTTGTGGTCAATCTGGGCGTCAATTAGAGAGACATTACTGTATTCTGATTTTTAACAAGTGTTTTTGTAACATTTACCGTAAGTAACATATAAATTGAGTAAATAACTCATAAATGTATCTTTACGACACGAATAATCGTAACGCTAGATTCACGGAGCCCAAAAAACAGCTGTTTAATATTAGTTTATAGAAGTAGCAATAAGGCATTTACAGTAATGTCTCCCTTACTGACGCTCAGATTGTCCACTAAATTGGATAATTTGAGAAGAGGAGATACGATTATTCGAGCCTTGCGGCTCCTTTTTGTAATTGTGGACAATTTATAACTATAAAAGTAAACCGCAAGGCTCGAATAATCGTATCTCCTTTTCCCAAATTGTCCAGTTTTGTGGACAATCTCAGCGTCAATTAGAGAGACATTACTGTAAGCGGGCTTCGTTTAGCAGTCGAATGAATTTTCTTGCCCCGCGTTGATTGTGCAGCTTGGTTAGAAGATTTGATCATTGGTCTTTGGATCGATACGGAATCTGAAATGATTATCTCGGCGAGGATTTGTGCAAAATGCAAAATTACAAAGTTTTATGAAAAAGAGAAGGCGAATGAAAGCTTAAGCTGCATGTTCGTTGTTATCGTCGTTGTTAATTAATGATCGTTGCTACATATTATATTCTGAACGAGATTCTCTCTCTATAGTTGTTGATAATTCGTAACTGTAACAACAAACCCCAGGGCTCGAATAATTGTATCTTCTCTTCCCAAATTGTCCATTTTTGTGCGCAATCTGGGCGTCAATTAGAGAGACATTACTGTATTCTGATTTTTAACAAGTGTTATTGTAACAATTGCCGTAAGTATCATATAAATTGAGGAAATAATTCATAAATGTATCTTTACGACACGTATAATCGTAAATTAAGAATAATCGTAACCCGTCGTTTTGACGGATTCCGTAAATCTAGTGTTAACACTATGCCGTCCGGAGATCTTAGATATGATTCTTTCGTTTGACGCCGACATAATAGCTTGGAAATTTTAGATTAAAAAAAAAAATTTCGAAGATTGCGGTGATATAAATTCCTAAAATTAAGATATGTCATCCAAGAATTTTCCTACTTAATTCTTAGTTAAATAAGCACAACGCTATAGTTAGTTCGCTGCCTTTTAACACCCAAGAAATATAGTTCAAATGTTATTTCAGTTTTTTAAAATGGCACCAATAAATGCCACCGGACGGCATAGTGCTAACAAAGCTATGAATCCTTCTTCCGCGCCATCCGCGTCAAATCCGCCAACAAACTTCCAAATTCGCGCAAACATCCGCGGTCCAGTCTCAACAAACAACAATCGCCGACAGCACCGGTGCGGCTCTGCGAACAAGATCCGCGGATCCTTCGCGTTCGAAACGCGTCGGAAGTTCCAGCTCGCAGCGAGTACTGATCGCGCGAGTACTGGTCCGTTTTGGATTACGTTAGCTAAAACAACGAAATAATTCGAATGCAAATGGAGGACGCGGGTAACCGTGCGTGGTAACCGGCGCATCCGAGGATCATGATTATTCATACGAAAGGAATACAATAATCCTCGAATTAGTGACATCGGGGACGTTAATCTCCGGCGCGGACAGGTCGCAGCTACGGTTCCAGAGTTTGCGCCGTCCGCCAACCCTCGGCCAACAGATCCTCGATCTTGTTCGATCCGTGCCGGGAACCGGGCTCGCAGGTTACAGCAGACGGCATTCGCGTATTTCCGACGCACGCCTCGAATTCCATTCACTCAGCTTGCGACAGAATAGATCGTCGCACACGGCGTTTCCGAGCTGCGGCTATCTGCGTCCGGCGGTGGTTCAATTTGAATATGATTATAACAGGTAAAGGGTTCGCGGCCGGGTTCAATTTAAGAAAATCCATGCGTTTCTGTCGAATTTCTGTCTCCGACTTGGAAATTCTCTCTTAGAAAATTTGTATTTTGCCTGAAAATCCACGGACTAGTTACGTATAATTTAAATCCAATAAACAAAGTTAAAATAACGCGAGTCTCTTATTTTTACTTGTCGTTCCAAACAATTGCAATTTATTTTTTTAAATTGTAGACATTGTCTAGTCTTCTTTTGACATCTTAAAAAAAATACAAGTCGTTTAGTGAAATTTTCAAAATGTTCTATTTATATTGTATGTAATTAGACTGCGCATCTTTCTGCAAAATGATTCGAAGACGGAACTTCTATGTCAGAGACAAAAAATCAATTAAAATGCAAACCATTTTTTTTAAACGAATTTAGCGAATCGTAAATGGCGTAATAATCCTCAAATTTGTTCAATTTTTCAAATTGTGTTTCAAATTTCAATTCATTTTTGCCATAAAATATCTAATTGAATAAAATAATAATGTGATAATAATGTAATGATTGAGTAATTTAATAATAATTAATTTCATATTATTATATTACACACACACATA